TATGTGTGCTGATAATTTGTCAAACCTTGGCTGGCAGGATTTGGCTCATGAGGAAACAGAGAGGGTCTGCCCGCTGTGGCACGTGTGCCATAGGTTTGCCACCACTGGGTTTTAAAGTGTTATTTATTGTCTTCAGTAGAAAGCAGATTTTGCCCTGATGTGTCCCCTCCCATTCACATCCTTCAATAGTAACTAACTTGTTGCATGGCATTCTTCACCTCCCTCCCTCCCTCCTGGAAGTTCAGTGAAGTCAGAGATACATTCTTTGCTTGACACATACTTTTCTACTGAGCACTTACCCCATGCTGGCAATATGTGAAGAGCCTTTTACTTACTCATTTAAGGTTCAGAACTCCTGTGAAGTAGAGAGTAGATAGTCCCATTTTATATATAAGGAAACTGAGGCCCAGAGAGGACAACTTGACAAGTATCACACAGGTTGTTACAAAAATAACTAGTATATCAAACCAGACATTCTGCTCTCAGTCCTTGCAGTTAAACAGTGTTAAATGCTTTTTTCTTACAGAGTAAGTTCTTTATAAAAAGTATGAAATAAATAAATAAATAGCTGTCTCTGTGAGTGTAAGACTTGCTGTTTAACTTGGCCTAGAAAGTCATGATGTGACCCCTGCAAATATAATTTTCTCTTGTACACACAGTAGTCGAGCAGAGATGAGATTTTGTGTGGGCTGAGAGATTATCTACAGCCTGGGTATGGTGGTACACACCTGTAATCCCAGTTACTTGGGAGGCTGAGGCAGGAGGATTATAAATTTGAGTTCAAGGCCAGCCTGGCCAGTTTAGTGACATCCTGTGCACACCCCCTGCAAAAAAAAGGATCATCTAAAGAAGGTGTTCTTTGTCCTTTCTCTGAGTACTTTGTTTCCCTTGTGCATTTATTGCAGTTTAAAATTTTCAACTTGATAGACTTGCTATCTTCTACAGAAATGTAATTTCCATGAGGTCAGGTCTTATCTTTGTCATTCGCAGTCCTTTTCCCAGTGTCAGCTACCCTGCTTAGGCTGGGTGTGGTGGGGCACACCTGTAATCCCAGCATTTGGGAGGCCAGGAGGTGAGGCAAGGAGGATCACTGGGAGTTCCAGGCCAGCCTGGGCTATGTAGTGAGTTCAGGGATGGCAGCCTGAATGAACTACATAGCGAGTACCCCACCTTAAAAACCCATCTAACTAATCACCCCCCAAAAACCCACCAGCAAACTACTGTGCTTGGGAGATAGGAATCCCTCAGCGAGTATGTGTTGAACGTTGAGTAAAGTGTATCTGGGTCCTAGATAAGGAGGTGTTCTGGGAGGAGGGGAATGAAGGAGGAGAGAAAGCCCAGACTCAGAATGTAAGTGGCAAATGCCCGCCAGATGTCAGCCTGTGGGAAACAGAACTAACTGTGAAGAAGCCAGAACCCTGAAGTGCTGTTTGTTTTCCTTTACTCATATAGAGCTTTCTTTTTCAGTGTTCCTTTACTCATACAATTTTCTTTTTCAATTCTTAGCATGTTTTCATTTTCCCTACTGTCTTTTTGGAGGGGAGGGGTTAGGGATCAAATCCAGAGCCTCTCACATGCAAATGAGCATCTACCACTCTGATTTAAAAAAAAAAAGCCTCCCCCTCTCTACCTCTCCTCCTGGACTAGAAAACCAAGACCCAGAGAGATTAAGTTACCCATGGTTAGATAGCCTGGTCCCTAATATCACAACAGAATCCCTTTTTTTTCCTGACAGGCCAAATTATTTAGTAGTATAATACAGTAAGAAAATTTTGTAATTTCTTCTAAACCAGATACGACTTTCTCACAGCACTTTATCTGTGAAGGACTCTGAATCACCAAAGTTGTCCTTGACATTGTATTTGGTCTTAAGGCAAACTTTTAGAAATAATGATGTCATCCTGTGTTGCATTTAATAGATACTGGTCTCTGCTTCTTGGTGCAGAATAAGAATGTTCTTGAATTTGAGTGTCTGGTCTTAACAGGGCTTTAGGTTGGCTTGGTTTAAGTTTGGGTATTTACTAGTTTAAGGCAAGGTAGCATTCCTTTACAGGGGAGAGAAGAGGCTGTTAAAAACAAGCGGTGAGCAGGTTACTGGCCTACAAAGAACAAGGGTCCAAAAGGCATAATAGGAATTCAAAGCTTCACCATGGGACATACTTTCCAGTTTTGATTTTTTTTCATGTTTCCTTTTGTCAGTGTTTATGAAAATGTGGTGTACCTACCATGTTAGAATTGCTTGAAATGTTCGTTAAAAATTGTATTCTTGGACTCAACCACAAACATACTGGACTAGAATATTTGGAAGTGGGGCCTGTGAATCTACATTTTAAATTCACCACTTCTTTGAGGATTTTATATATTCAGATATTTGAGAATCCTGCCCTCATGTACTTCGGTTACATAGATTTTCTTCATCTTTAAGCACTTTTCCTTATCCATTCTATAACTTGAGTTTTTACTTAAATTTTCACATATTTTAGGTGGGAAGATTTTTGTTTGCTTGCGTTTTTTTGTTTTTGTTTTTAGAGACAGGGTCTTGCTCTGTAGTCCAGGCTGGCCTTGAACTGGAGGCAATCCTCCTGCCTCAGCCTCCCCGTATAGCTGAGATTACAGACGTGTGCCACCACGCCTGGTTTGCTTGCTTTATTTATTTATTTATTATTTATTTTTCATTTTAAATTTTATTTCATTGCATATGAGCTTTATAACTTGATCTTCCCTTTGACTAAGAATTTCTTCCTTTCATCCTGTCATTAGTAGACACAACAGTCACAGCTGGACCAGAGCCCAAGGGAAGGGAGGAATGAGGAGGGGTCATGTGAGTGTGGGAGTGGGGTTGAAGGGAAGGGTGGGCCTTGTGTGGGAGTGTATCTGATTTGAGAAGCAAGAGAGCCCTCCATTCAGACAGGAGCCCTTCAAGGTGCCAGGATGGTTTCTCTTCTGGATTCCTGCAGCTTGACTTCCCTGGGTGCCTGGCCTGAGTTTGTAGAGGTTTCAGTCCGTCATCAGCTGGCTCCAAGGCAGGGTGGCACATGGCAGTGGGGCAACCATTCATGGTGGAGGACAGCAAAAGCAATGAGAGAGAAAGAGAGCTGCTTGCTTTTTTAAAAGCAAAAGATTCATGTTATTATAAATATTGACAAATACAAAAAGGTATACAATGAACAGTGTCCTCTTCCTTGACTTTAGAGTATTGTGCTGTTCTAAACCTGTTTTGTATAGGAGGAAAGCTGGGATGGTGTCCTGTGGCTGTAATCCCAGAAGTCAGAAGGCTGAGACAGGAAGATTGCTGTGAGGTCCTGGGTAGCCCAAACTACATAGCTAGACCCTGTCTCGAAAAAACAAAATAACAAATGCAGCCCTAAAATTATCTTAAAGCAAAACAAAAACCAGAAAATACATATACAAGAAGAAAACAGCCCAAAAAGGTTAAATCCCTCTATCAAAGTCACTTAAGTAGGAGATAGCGGATGGTCTGAGAATCTGGCCCTAGTGCTCATAACTACCACCCTCCGCTGAGTTAGCGAGCAGAAGGATTAACTAGATTAATGCATGTGATGAGCTTGTTTTGGGAGAGCAGACTTCATCCTTTAATATGGTAAGTGTTCCATGTGAACTCTTAGCAACCAATCCTGGCATTGCTCTAGCCCTGGTAGTTGGGTATCCTCTTGTCATTTCAAATAACCAGTTCTATTCTGAGTTTTATAGACTTTTTGTCCAGGGAGTATATTTCATGAGTTGGTGATGCTGAGCAAGGAAGTGGCAGCAACTGAAATTCCTTTTTTCGTTAGGGGGCAATGTTGGGGATTGAACTGAGGGCCTTGCACATACTAGGCAAGTGCCCTACCACTAGGCTACATCCCCTGCAGCAACTGAAATTCTTACAGCATCTTTTCCTAGGCTATATTTTATTTACATAGAGCTTACATACATAATTCTACTGTATATAGCATTTGAATTTGTGGTTCTACAGTATGGTTATGGCCAGGAGCCAGTGATATAGTCTGTGCATCATCAGAGATTTTTTTTTGGTCCTTTTGAGACAGGGTTTCACTGTGCAGGTTAGGCTGGCCTTGAGCCTACTTTGTAGCCCAGGCTGGCCTAGAACTCTGATCCTCCCACCTCAGCCTCCTGATTGCTGGGATTACAGGCGTGTGCCACCATGCCCAGCAATTTCGAAGCATCTGATGTGGAAGATGCTTAGGTTCTTTCTCTCTTGTTTCTTGCTGTTTTCTGAAAGACAAAGTAATCTAAAAATTCTAATGAATATGTGCTTAACTGAGGAACCTATTGTTAGGCCTTAGGTTCTGTACATGAAGTGTTTTTAAAGTCACTTACTGATGGCCGGGAGTGGTAGCACATGCCTGTAATTCTAGCATTCTGAGGCAGAAGGATTGCTGTGAGTTTGAGACCAGCCTGGACTACAGAGTAAGACCCTATGTCCCCTCTTCCCCCACCCCCCCAAAAAAATGCCAAAATGCACGTATGGAATTGTTACTTTGTGCCAGGAGTTGTGTATATCCTGTATCCCAACTGATGTAACCCCTCCCATAATAATGGTGTAGTCAGGTTTCACAGATGTTAAGTGACTTGTTAATAATTACACAGCTAATTAAGTTGCAAAGTTAGGGTTCAAACCTAGATATGTCTAATTGTGATTTTAGAATATAGGCTGCCAAAGTGAGCACAATATGTCTGATTCTGAACCTGGTTACTTCCTGCATACTCTGCAGACCCTATAGAAGGACAAGAGCTAATAAACATTCACACTCCAAACCATGGTTCCAGCTGATAGGTGTATCAAGCCTGGGCCCACAGTTTTTTTGGGGGTGGTCTTTTTAAAAATATTGTAGTAAATTTGGGAGGTGGTTTGAGACAGGGTCTTGCTGTGTAGCCCAGGCTGGCCTAGAATTTGCAGTGATCCTTTTGCCTTAGCCTCCAAGTGCTGGGATTACAGGTGTTTGCCCCGAAGCCTAGCAATAATAAAAATATTTAAAAAGAAGTGTTCTTACTTGTATATATAAGCTATATTACATGTTTTATATGTGGTCCGAGGTGATTCTTCATTCAAAAGAGGGGACTTAAAAAGCTGGGGTACAGATTGGACATACCTGTAGAGGCCAGATGACACTCCTGTTTATCATGTTGTTTTGTTACTTGTCAGCTCATCTAAATCAAACTAAGTCATTTTGAGTATTCAGGCAGCTAATTTAGATCAACAGAATCCACTGTAAAGATAAATAGAACATCAGAGTTTTAAGTTCTTCTTGTAGCAACACATTGCTGGAAAATGTGTCAAGGAAAATCATTTAGTAGTCAGGAATCATTCTTACGTTCAGGTCCCAGCTTTACTTCCTTTCTCCAGCCATCATTTATTCTCATCCCTGGCCCATAAACACAAAAGAGAATGAAGTCAAAGCTCCTTTTTTTCCTTAAGTATTTTTAAGTCTGAGTAGTTTAAAGACTGATTAAACTAGGTTTTCTATGTGAGCAGTTCCTTAACCTTGATTTGGTAAAACATTAAAATACGTATTTATGATATTTGCTGTTGACCCCTGTTCTGCAGTGGAGGAGTTAATTCAGCAGTTTCTCACTAGATACCAGCATTATGCAGTTCAAAGGTTGCAGCAGGCCTGGAAGAGGGGGTCAGGTTAGGGATGTGGAATAATGGGCGTGTGAGAGGAATCCCAACAGCAAATCAAACAGGTAGACAGTAGATTCCTGGCTTATGAACTTCACAGATATGAATAGACCTCATACTTGGTTTTTTTATGCTTTACATTGTTTATTTGTGACGAAGGTGTTTATTCACTTCATTGAACTTGTGAACAAATCTGACTTAGAAATGTTCTCCCCGAATGGAACGAGCCATGGTGGTGCATGCCTGTAAATCCCAGGACTCTGCAGGCTGAGGCAGAAGGATGCTGTGAGTTTATGGCCAGCCTGGACTATGTAGTGAGTTCTAGGCCAACTGAACTGCATAGTGAGACCCTATCTCAAAAAAGATCAAAATGATGACAAAAACTGAAAGGCTTTAGGCAATAACTATTCTACTCCAAGCACAAAAAACAAACAAAAACCCACCGTTGATTTCCACACTCTGGTGGTATGTAATTTAATGAATCCTTTACTGATGAGCTTCAGTGGTCTGTACATTCTGCTCTTACCAGCAATGCCTCAGTGTTTCTTCCTCTTATGTCTGTGAGCATCAGTGTGTTTCTTTCTTTTTTTTTTTTTCTTTCTTGATTTTTTTCTCTGGTACCAGGAACCGAACTTACGACCTTGCTCTTGCCAGGCAGGCGCTTTGCCGCTGAGCTAAATCCCCAGCCCCCATCAGTGTGTTTCTAACGGGAAAAATTTCTGGATATAAAAGTTTTGTGCCATAGCATACAAATGAAACCTTCAAAAGTGACAAGTAGATGAACGACATTACCAAACATAGAAATGTATAAAGGATGCAGTTTGTGTCTTTTTTCCTCCCATTTAAATCAAGTAGTTTTTATTGTTCTATCTTCCAGTGCACTGATTCTTTTCTCTGTACCTTCCATTTGGATTTGAGCCAGTACTAGTTAGCTTTCCCATCACTGTTGCAAAATACCTAAGATAACGATAAAGAGAAAAGGTTGATTTTAGTATCAGTATTAGAGGTTCCAGTTGCCTTGGGCCTCTGGTGGGTGCACTGGTTGACAATGGCTGGGAGTGTGCAGCAAAACAAAGGAAACCACAGAGGAAGAGGTGGGATCTCACAGCCTCATTGCAAGGCCTGCCCTCTCCGGAGGCCTCATCTCTAGAGGGTTCATGGCATCTTTAGCACATGGACCTTTGGGGGACATTCAGTAGCAAAACCATAGCAGAGCACAGCTGCACAACCTTACTACTATATTTTTTAGTTGTAAAATTTTCATCTGGTTTTTCTTTATACACATGTTCTGTTTCTCTGCTAAGTCTGCTTTTTTTCCATTTGTTTCCAACTGTTGATAAGTGCTCATGGAAGCAGTTTTATCATAGCTACTTTAGATACTGTCAGATAATTCTGTCATCTCTTCGGTCTTGGTGTTGGCATTTATTGGTTGCCTTTTTTCAAATACTTGGTATTTTCAGTTGAGAACTGGATATTTTTGTATGTAAGACTTGCATTTTATCTAACCCTTCTGTTTAAACATCTCTGGTGGGGAGAAAAAAAGATAAGAGAGCAGAGATCTAGGTTCCCCTAGGTCTCACTGATACCAAGGTGCAGAGGCTCCCCGTTACTGCTGGGAAGGGGTCAGCGTTCCGCTTCCCCGAGTGATTGCACTGATATCTTAGTGGAAGTGGCCTCCTGGCTGCTCTTTGATGATCAAGCCTCTAACAAGATCTCCTGACCCCATCCCAGCACGGAGTGTAGGGAAGGGGAGAGGAGGGGCCCCTGTTCTGGTTAAGGACCTTTTCCCTTTCTGGGCCTTCTCTGATGACATTCTGGCCAGGGGTAGTACATCCTCCAGAAGATTGATGACATTAAATTGGGGGAAATATATATAATTTGTGAAAAGGGGATATATAATGTAATCATATTTTCTGTTTTATTTTTCTATGTGATACAAATGCTGTAACTCAGCTACATCCTCAGCTTTTAATTTTTAAAAGAAAAATTTTGTATATTTCTAACAACATAGAAAACAGTATAGAATAATAAGTAACAAACTATTGAATGGTTCAGTGGTATAGTGTCTGACTATGTAGTGTTTCAGTTTTTACTTATTTTAAAAATAATGAATATGTATTACTAGTGTTAGAAACAGTGAAAAGCAAAGTACTTTTTAAAGACATACTTTTCGTAGATGCTGTGGTAGATACCTATAGGTTAATGTTAATTTTTCTGCCTTTTTACAAAATTGTGTGTAGAATAGAGGCCTGACCGCCAGTATAGTATGCTTTCCACTGCACCGCAGGCCCCTCCTCAGTGAGCGGGAGCAGTAAGTAGGTTGTATTAGAAGTAGTCCACACTAGACAGAGTAGCTTTGATTCTAACTTTGTTAAAATGGAGTTCTGTAGTACCACCTAAAGGAGGGAGCTTTTGACTTGTGCCTTCTAGAAGTCCAAACTTCTTTAATTTCATCATGCTTTTTATAAATGTTAACCTATTAGCTCCCAGTTTTCTGGTGCTATTAAACCTTTGGGAAAAAACTTATTCCTAGTGATCCATCTTGCGATGAGTTTTGGGAGAGTGATCAGTAAAAAAGGGCATTTTTAAAAGGATCTGAGCTGGGCATGTTGGTGCACACCTGTAATCTCAGCACTCAGGAGGTGGCTGAGGCAGGAGGATAGCTTCAAGTTTGAGTCCAGCTTGGGCTCCATGGTAAGTTCAAGGCCAGGCAGAACTATATAATGAGACCTTGTCCCAAAAAACAAAAGGAGAGATCTGAGTAGTACTCATGCTGTTATTTTTGTGTGTATGAAGGAAAGTAGTTATGCGAGGTGTATGCTTGAAAGAGGAATAGGAAAATTTGCTAGAAATTACGGGCAAAGGACACAGTCAGCTATGAAAACAAAAGGGAATTTGCCTCCTTACCAGGTCTTTATGAACCACTCCAGGCCCTGAGATTCTCCTGCTTGAGAATGTTCCCTGCTGACCACTGTAGGAAATTCTGTTGCAGCTCTAATCGATAGCCAGTCTATCTCATTGCCAGCCTCTTTCCAAGTGCCACATACGATGTGTTCATTATATCTTTACCTGTTACGACAGGCGCTTGGGAAGATATAGTTAAATGTATAGATTAAACAAATGGAACAGGATAAAGCTCTAGGCTAGTTTTTTGTTCTACCAGATGCTTCTGCTTTTTCAAATAATACCAAATTTCGGATACTTTTATTTACACTCCTGTATCTTAAATAGGAGGGAAAAAAACAGGAATAACAAATTTGGGTATCATTTAAAAAATAAAAAAAAAAACAAATTTGGGTATCAAAAGCTGCAAACCTGGTGTGAAAATATTCACCACCAAACTATAAAGGCAGTGCATTAACTGTACTTGTAGTAAACTCACTTGTATGTTACTAGTGTTTTATGCTGCAAGTGGATGGTGAGCATATTCAGAAAACCAACTTCAGGTATGAGGGTATTATACAGCTCAGTGGTTTAGTACTGTGAGCTGACTTGTACTCTGAGAAAGGAATGTTACCCTAACCTTCCTGAACCAGTGTTTCCCACTGTGTCTCGCAGGTGCCTCCCTTGGATCTCCTTGGGTGCCAGTAATATAAACTGAGAACTCCTGGGTCCCACCCAGTAATTCTGCTGAATCAGAATCTTTGGATGCGAGGCCAGGAATCCTTTCAAATCTTTTTCTTGGGTTGCTCACAATCACACTAAAATTTAAAAACTAGGCCTTTTTTGTAAGTACTTTTTTTTTGTCTTTTTGAGACAGGGTTTCGCTATGCAGTTCAGGCTGGCCTTGAGCTCACTTTGTAGCCCAGGCTGGTCTCGAACTTGCAACGATCCTCCTACCTCAGCCTCCCGAGTGCTGGAATTACAGGCATGCGCCACCACACCCAGCTAATGACTTTTGATTGATGTAGCATTTTATCGAAATGTTTCTGAGTTACTTTAGGACAGTGACGGCTAACCTTTTAGAACTTCTGATGTTAACAAACAGCCTGCTGTGGTATGTATGCCATAGGTTTGCCACCACTGCTTTGGGATGATAACCAGTACTTTTACCAGTACTTTTATAATCATCTTTGAGTGACTTGCTGAAGTCATTTCTAGTGCTCTCCATAGATTGGTTGAAAGGCTGTGTTGATTCTCAGAAAATGCCAGAATATTTTCTTCTCTCCTTTTTTTTTTTGGTTTTTGGTTTTTCTCCGGTACCGGGAACCGAACTCACGACCTTGCGCTTGCCAGGCAGGCGCTTTGCCGCTGAGCTAAATCCCCAGCCCTCTCTTCTCTCCTTTTAAAATGTAGGACAAACCTGATTAAAGATTTAGCCCATCTGAATTTTTGTAAAAAGTCTGCCTCATTAGTAAGTAAGCTCAGGGAAGTCATCTGTTCCATGTAGGATAGAAATAGCTTATTATAAAGATATCTTTTACGTTTTGCTGCCTGAAGGAATGTGTAGAAAGGGGTAGAGGATATTTATAAAGAATTTTTTGTTGAGTGTGAGGTTGGCAGGCATTTGGAGACAGGAACATGTACAGGTTTCCCTTTTGGGTTACCTTATGAAAAGTACTGTCAGAATAAGAACTGGTTTTGTACATTTCATAAAATCCATGGTAGACTTTGCCTTTGCACTGAGGCAGGAATGTAAGTACCCCCTAGGGACGGAGCAGCCATTAACCACCTTTGGCTATTTAAATTAAAGATACATAAAACAAAAAAATCTGGAACATTGGAAATAGCGACATTTAAAATACTCACCAGCCAGCTGTTGCCAGTAGTTGCCACACTGGACAGTAGCAATACAGATTCTCCCGGTCATTGCGGAAAGTTCTCTTGGACAGCACTGTTCTGGACTGGTCATTGCTCAGAAAAGTATGAGGCGAGTGAAAGACCAAAGTAATAGAGAGCTGCCTTTCTATCCTCCCTCTTGATTAAAGTTTGTAGAAACTGCTGTCATTCTGCGTAGCATCATTTGGACCCTGTTTCTTAATGTTTAACTCTGTCTTGCAGGCTGGCAGTGATGGGGAAAGCATAGGAAACTGTCCCTTCTCCCAGAGGCTCTTCATGATTCTTTGGCTGAAAGGAGTTGTGTTTAGTGTCACAACTGTGGACCTGAAAAGGTAAGACATGGTGCGGTTTGGGATGAATTGAAGTTGAGAGCATGTACTGTCTTTTCAGATGGATCCTCTTCTTCCTGTGCTTCACTCAGACTGCATAGGAGGAAAATATATTTTATTAAAAGTCTGCTGTTTTCTGGACAGATTTAACTTGTATAAATATTCCACACAACTTTCATTGTTAGTAAATTGCATGTGGCTTCTCAGTCTGTTTTGGAACTATCATATGTTTACCCTAAATTTCACGAGTAGCACCCAGAGCGAAGTTTCGCTGTGGATGCAGTGAAACCCTTGAGTTTTCCAGTGTGAACGTGGGGTGAGGAAGAACTCTCAGTGCTTGGTCTCCACTGTGCTGAACATACGGCCTCTGTAAGCTGGACCTTGAAAGACAAGAATGGGGTTTGTGGAGGGCAGAATACAGTTGTGGTATATTTCACTTGACCTACTTTTCAGAGAATAATAGTTTTCTGTAATACAATTTTACTCATATTTGATTAAATGTAATAGTAAAATAAGAGCAATTATCCTTGGCCCTGTGATTGTTTTGCTATTTGAGGGATTGCCTATAACTTTGTCTCCATAGCGCAGAGTAGAGAGGGCTGAAAAGATCACTAAGAGCAAGTAGGGAGCTCCTTTTTGTTTGGAATTTCTATTTTTTCTTATCAGGTAGGTCAGAGGTAAAGAACATTCCCAAAAGATTTAAAACAAAGGTTGAGAATAGTTATACTGTATGACCGGGTATGGTGGCCCACACCCGCCATCTTAATGCTTGGGAGGCTGAGGCAGGAGGATTGCTGAGTTTGCGGACAGCCTGGGCTACATAGTGAGACCCTGTCTTAAAAAAAAAAATAATTTTATCAGTGAGAAATCTAGGATTTGGTAGTAGAAATGTATTTCTTTTTGATAGACATGCCACAGCATTATTCACTATTATTTTTTAAATGTGTCAAGTCATGCACAGTGTCCAGGGAAAAGTATTGATGGGTTATCACTTTGATGGGTGGCATAATTGATGTACATTAGCTTTTATGAGTGTCACATCCAGAGTTACCTGTGAACTATGCTCCAATTCCTAGTTCTGGGTTAACTTACTTTGGAAGCTCTGTTGGTGCCTTAAAATTATTTTTTGTTTGTTTCCAATGTCATTTAAAATTTTTTTTCCAGACTTGAAATTTATTGAAATAAGCCATGAAATCTTCCAGAAAACCCTTTAGTTATGTGTGTAAATGTAGAGACAAGCCTTTGAAGGTAGTGACAGTTGAAGAACTTGGGAAGACCTCACCTAGTTCATACTGCGCGGAGCTGTTTTGAGAATGACATAAGTCATGCAGTTACTCTTCTCTTACTTTTTTTCCCTACATGATTCAGAAAGGAAGTTTCCCAATATAACTCCTAAAAATAGACCATGCCGCCGGGCATACACCCTTCTGTGTCCTAAAGTACGGGGGTTTCTCCTATTCCATGTTTGGTTTGGAACAAGTGAGTTCACTGCTGTGCTCTGAGAAGGCCTTTTTTGCTCAACACAGTGCTCGATTGTGTTATGTACAAGTAATAGTGAATCTGGTCCAGAAAGTGAAGTGAATCCGTCAGGGCTATTTCAATCATCTGTTTATTTTCATTTATAGACTTTAAAATGCATTTTTAAAGGCATTGTTACTGTAAATTGATTCATACTTGCAGATGTGTATATGTCTGAAAGTAATGTGTTCTGCATTCAAAAAGTGACGTGTGTAAAGTAGCCATTCAGGACGTATAACTGGAAAATGTCAAAGAGAATGTGTATTTCCTGGGGCTTTGTGTAAAATGAACAGTAGAAAGCTTTTAAAATTGAAGCCTGTATTTTTTAGTTTTCTTTAGAAATCTTAGATCCCACTACATCTTAAGAATTCTTCTTAAGGGCAAGAGAATGTGTCCAAGTGATACATGATACTGAATCCCTTCCTCTTCTAGAGCTGGTTGTTGTCAGCATCCTCTTCATGAAAAATACAATTGCTTGTACGTTTAAGCTTTATCTTTTCAGACCTTTTCCGTGAATTTGTACACTTAGAGTCTCAAACAAAATTTCAAATGGTAGGTATCCCAACAGAGTAAACATTGGCTAAAAAAAGTGTAAAATAAAGTTGTTACAGAGGAACGAACCATCCTGTAGTAAATGTACTTTTCTTTCTTTCTTTTTTTTTTTTTGTTTTGATCTTTTTCAGACAGGGTCTCCCTATGCAGTTCAGGCTGGCCTTGAGCTCACTTTGTAGTCCAGGCTGGTCTTGAACTCCGCAAGGATCCTCCTGCCTCAGCCACCCAAGTGCTGGGATTACAGGTGTTTGCCATCATGCTCTGCTAAAGCACCTTTCATAGTTTTAAAACATTAAATTTCTCTCTTTAGAAATCTGTGTGGGAGAGAATACCTGTAGTGCTTAGTTGGTTGCTTTTCATGGTAATTGCTCAATTCCTCAGTGAAAAGTACTGATCCCAGAACAAACCATTGTAGAACATTAGAAATACCTCCTCTATTAGAGCTATTTAGAAGCCCATTTTAGGTTTCTAAAAAATGGTTGTCACATAGCATTTCAACTATAAGGAACAAGCCCATTTCTAGTTCTGGCACCCGTATCACGCATTCTCTTTGAATCTCAGTTGGTGTTAATGACTGTTCTGGTGGTATTCATATGTCCTTTGTGAAGCTTTGAATTGATCTCCCATTACTTGCTTCCATAGCCTTAATGCTTTAGTAGGAGTTATTTCCAAACCTATTTTTTTATTCATGCTGAAGTTGTATTAAAGGAGTTTTAGATAAAAAGTGCCTGGCTTAAGAAATAATTTAGATTTGTATCAACTGTTATTTGAATAAAAGCTACAGATAAACATGTAACAGTATTAAAATTGGGGCGCAGTTACAGATGTTGGCACATGTGCCCAAATGAGGGAGCTACTGTGGCACAGGGGGAGTACCAGGAGTAAGGTCTGACTTTGGATGGAAAGAACCCTGCCATTGATTTCACCAGGACCTTGGGCAAGTTACCTCTTCTACTGGGCAGTTTGTTGATACTGAAGTTCGGGAAGAGGAGACGGGGGAGGAGACTAAGATGTCTCCAGTGTCATCTCTGTGAGTGGTACTGTACAGGGTACTTTCTACTATTTTCAGGCCTGTTACGAATATAATACATTGTTTCAGAGGTTTTCTGGCTAATAGGTTCATAGAGATGATCAAGATCTTTATTTGAAGCCATTCACTGTCTTCACTGCCCAGCAGTGCCTAAATCAGAGCTTCGTATTGCTGTAGCATAGCTGGATCATAAACCTTTCAGTGTCCTGGATAAGCCTGGGAAGTAGGCAAGGGGAAGAGAAAGAAGGAAGTATGAAAATGGTAATATGAGAGAAAATGGGAGAGAGACACTAGGACACTGACATTATACAGCTGGTATGGTATATTTGTTGGGATAAACTTTTCTGGTTTTGAGAAATGGGGTAGAAATGATAATTAACTTTAAGAAATTAGCTTTTTAGGCAGGCATGGTGGTGCACTCCTGTAATCTCAGCACTTGGGAGGCCGAGGCAAGAGGATTGTTGTAAGTTTGAGACCAGCCTGAGCTACAAAGTGAGCTCAAGGCCAGCCTGAACTGCATAGTGAGACCCTGTCTCAAAAAAAGGCCAAAAAAAAAAAAAATTAGCTTTTTATTATAAAGGTAATTATGTCTGCAATATTATCAGTGACTAAAATCCTCTGTGCTATATTCTCTTGAGAGAATAAATTGGAGATCAGTTTTTAAAAGTCTGGAAAATGTTCCCATTCTCCACCTCTCACGTTAACACGAAACTGTCTCATTCTTTGCATTGTCAGTTGTGACTTCATTCTGCTTCAGATACAAACATGCCGTCTGTGATGTATTATGAGTCACACTTATGTAAGTTACCATAGTAATGGCACAAAGTTTTGGAAGATTAGTGTAAGAGTTTAAACAATTTTGCAATAATTAAAGTGTTACTATGAAATTGATACCAGTAGTTGTGCCATATCTTAAAAGACAGTTATAAAATCAGAACAAAATCTGATGTCCAGATAGTCTTCAGGTAGTTTGCTTTTACTATCATGTCTCTCTAGTTCCTTGCTTCTAAAACAGTCTTCAGTAAGTTGTGAAGTCAGTTCCACTTTCAGATACATCTTCCGTAACAGCAGCATAAAAGGCCCATGGGGAGAGTCAGAGCGGATACAGTAGGCCCCCTTTTAGAGAAATCATCCACCTCCTGCTGATGGCCATTCAGAAGAGTACATCTCTATTCTTTCCCTTTGTAAAGCTCACCTGAGCCCCATGAAGCCCTAGTGCAGTGGTGACAAACGTATGGCATGTGAGTTACTTGCTTTCCTTTGAAGACAAAAGATGTCAGTGTATGAGTTGTTTTTTCTGAACTAAAACCTCAGTATTCAGGGTCAGTTTCGGTGTTGGCACTGTGTGATGAATGAGTGGGCTTTGGGTTGCAGTTTGGGTGCTCTTTTCTAAAAGGTTCACCACCACTGCCCTAGAGCAATGCTGTAATTCAAGATAAATGTGTTTCACGAATATATTCTGAATCCTGTGTGTGTTTCTGTCATACATGTGCACTTGTGCGCATGAGGGAAGCACTTTGCTGTCTTGTGTTTTGTTTTCAAGATGATTTCAAGAATTCAGCCACTAGAAGTGAATTAGAAAAATAATCTGTGAATATTTTTGTAAATCTGTTTGTTAATAGCATAAACTTTATTTACAAAACTGTGATATTAAAGTATGTTATGAATTATAGAAACTATATTTGAAATCTCTTCATGGATGCTGTTTTGTTTTTAAAATATTTGTCCACAAATTGATATTGAAGTAGACACAGACTAGCAGTACAGTATACCACATTTAATCAAATCAGAAGGTTCTTTGCTTGAACTGGGACCCATAGATGCTCAGTAATTAGGAGTCTTGGTGTGTGTCTTCGATGAGTCTGTGATTAATTTATTCAGTTAGTGGCTTTAGTATTAATTA